TAGGGAAGTAAGGCTGAAAACAGGAAATAGCTTTAGGCTTGCCATTCCAAAGGAGTGTCTGTCTCAGTGGGAAAATGTCTAAGCAATAGTATTAGGTGAAACTGAGTGAGTAGAAACCGGAAGCTGCTTTCCATATTGATCTCAGGTATGGAAAATGCCTAGTATAGTGGTTGTCTTCAAGGGCTCTGGCAGGAGACTATCTGGATTCAAATCTAAATTTCACCATTTATGTATGGTCTGTGTGACTTGTAGGAAATTGTTCAATTTCTCTATGTCTCAGCTTCTGGTCTTTATTTTTTTAAAAAGATTTTATTTATTTATTTTTAGAGAGGGGAAGGGAGGGAGAGAAACATCAATGTGTGGTTGCCTCTCACACACCCCCTACTGGGGACCTGGCCTGCCACCCAGGCATGTGCCCCACACTGGGAATTGAACCAGCAACCCTTTGGTTCACGGGCTGGTGTTCAATCCACTGAGCCACACCAGCCAAGGCTCAGCTTCTGGTCTTTAAAATGGGAATAAAAAGAGTATATATACCCAAGGTTGACTGTGGGTATTACATGAGATAATGTGTATTAAGTGCTTAGTGCAGGGCAGTACTTGTGAGGCAGGAGATAGTCAGGAAGCAGGAAACTCCAGAGGTGCCCCAGGGCTAAGATAAAGAACATGGATGAAGGGCAGAGACCCTTTTCTAAGACTGGTAGTTCCTGCTTTCTGGAAAAGCATTGAATCCTAGTGAATCAGGAGTGCACCTGTGCAGAAGATGCTACCTGACTCCTGCTATAATAAATTAGCATTATGGAGGGACCCACCCTAGAGGAAGAAAAGTCCTCTAGACCCTTAGTTCGGAGCTGCTGCTGCTGCTGCTGTTAGGCTCTTCTAGGCTCTTCTCTGATCTGCTCTGCTCTGCTCAGATCAGAGTTAGCCTGCTCCCATGTTCTGTGTGGCTTAATAAATCTGCTTTTTCTCGCTTTCTGCTATAAACTCTGTGTGTTTGGTTCAATTTTTTGTCCACAATCACCAAGAACCTGGTTACCTGTGCCCACCTGGGACACTTGGGCTGCTGTGAATGATGAATAAGTAGTAGGAAGTATTATTATTATTGCAGATATTATGGCTGTTGTCACTTGCACCTTGTATATTAGACAAGGTTTAGCTGGAATAGTGTCTGGCATAAAATATGTGCTTAGTGAAACTTTATTGAATTATTACTCTGCCAAAAATGTCATGATGATGAAGTTTTGTTGTGGGTTGATGGTTTGGTTGGTGACAATAAGTTGAGGAAGGTTGGAGGAGAAGTTTCTGGTTAAATAGGTACAGGACAGATGCTGCATAATAAAATTTTTTTGCGAGTCAGAGGAAAGAGCTCAAGAGAGTATTTTACGGTTCTAGATCTGCCACCAGTAAGTTGTGTGAGTTTGGACAACTCACTTTCATTTCTGGGTATTTCCTCATTTTCAAAAATAAAGAGTTAGACCAGGCAAGTGTTTGTTAACTGTGGGTGGGGGTGGGGAGTGCATCACAAACTGTTTTAAATCTTATATATCTGCATTTCCACTCCCCATCTTACCTTTGTCCTTATATCTTTCCCTCTACACCTTTCTTGTGAAAACTCCATCCTTTTTGGTAACCATATAAAGAATATAGTGCTGGCCAGGTGGCTCAGTCAGTTGACTCATCGTGCCATACACCAAAATGCTGTGGGTTCTATCCCTGGTCCAGGGCATATACCTAGGTTGTGGGTTTGATGCCTAATTAGGGTGTGTATGGGAGGCAACTGATAGGTGTTTTTCTCTCATATAGATGTTAATCTCTCTCTCCCCCTCCTTTCTTTTCTTTACAAAATAATAAACATATCCTGGGGTGAGAATTAAAAAAATATATAAAGCACCTCATTGCATTAGTGACAGTTCGGTAACCCAGAAGCCAAGGAAATAATTGCCTTTGTGTTCATTTGGATAAGAAAGTCTAGATGGGAGTCTAGGTATAATTCAGGAACTTCTTTCATGGGTTTACAGATAAGTCAGGAAGTTGGCTATCCCATTGCCTGCTTTTGCTTAAATACATTGGGCTGATCCAGGAAATACCACTTGATAGCTTCAGTGAAACTTCAGTAGCTTATAAATAGAATAAAAGCAAGTGATTTTTAACTCTTTACTTAACGTTTATGATATCCATGACATAGGGGTATAAAATATCTAAGGATAGATTGCTAGGGGAAAGAGAACTTGAAGATCTGTCTGTAAGCATTTTAAGGGAACCCTGATTGTCTTAGTCTTTATAGGTAATATTAATGGATTTCTGTTTGTCAGACCCATTGCCTTGGGTCCAAAAGTGACTAGTGTGTTTATCTCAATCTATGAGAGCAGTTCTATGGAAGATCTGTGATCTTATTTTGACTAAACCTGTCCATTACTTACAGATGCTTTAGAAGGCAGCAATGGTCTGACCAGTGTGTGGGGAGGAATTCAGAAGAGAGATTTATTGGACCTCAGTAAGAGAAATCGCATCCTCATATAATTTCATGAGGCATACAAAATAGCATGATGTTGATTCAGTGCAGTTAGCTAATTGAAGGAAGACAAATATTGGAGCCCCAGAGGACAAGCTTTCATAATCCTGAGTCAAATGTACGGGATCCAGCGTTGCAGGGCGGAAGTGCATTGGACTGGGAATCATATCTCTGTCCTCTCCTAGCTTTGTCACTAACTAACTGTGTAATCTTGGACAAGTCTGAGTTTTATTTTCAATATATAAAGAAGAATTGGATGACCATTGTCTCCAGTATACTAGCTGCCTCTAACAGTTTGATCCTAAGATTCTGTTATGTAGCAATTGATGGCTACCAACATTAGAATATTACAGATTGACCAGGTAAGATAAAGAGAGTGAAACAGGGAAAGAGGGTCTGTATGCTCAATTAATTTACATAGAAGAAAAGAAAGGTTGTCTCTGAATGTTGGGTAAGTGACCTTTAATCCTTAACTTCCTGTGAAATTGTTGGTTCCAGGATTAAAGATTCAAAGACAAGCATAGAACTTTGACTAAGTAGTGAATTTTCTTTGAAAGGAGAGTGTTTTTTTAAAATTTTATTTATTTACTTATTGATTTTTTAATTTATTTTTTATTGTTGTTCTATTACAGTTGTACTAATTTCCCCCCCTTTGCTCTCCTCTGCCTAGCCCACCACCTTCTTCCATAGTCTATTTCCACACCATTGTCCATGTATTTTTAACTGAATTTATTGGGATGACTTTGGTTAATAAAATTGTATAGGTAATATCATCTCATATTATATTGTGTGTTCACTACCCTAAGTCATTTATCCCCCCTTTACTCTCTTCCATCTCCCCCAATCCCATTTCCTTCTGGTATTCACCATACCATTGTCTGTGTCTATGAAGGCTTTTTTTTTTTTTGGTTTAATCCCTCCAACTTTTTCACCCAACCCCCCAACCATCTTCCCCTTTGACAGCTGTCAGTCTGTTCTCTACCTATGAGTCTGTTTCCATTTTGTTTATTTATTTTGCTTATTAAATTCCACAAATGAGTGAAATCATATGGTTTTTGTCTTTCTCTGACTGGCTTATTTTACTTAGCATAATGCTCTCCAGGTCCAGCCATGCTGTCACAAAAGGTAAGATTTCCTTCATTTTTATGGCTGAGTAGTAGTCCATTATGTAAATGTACCACTGCTTTTTTGTTTACCTGTCCACTGATGGGCACTTGGGCTGCTTCCAAATCTTGGCTATTGTAAATAACACTTCAATGAACATAAGGATGCTTATATATTCTTTTGAGTTAGTGTTTCAGGTTTCTTTGGATATATTCCCAGAAGTGGGATTGCTGGGTCAAAAAGTAATTCCATCGTCAATTTTTTAAGGAAGTTCTGTACTCTTTTCCACAGTGGCTGCACCAGTCTGCATTCCCACCTACAATGCACTAGGGTTCTTTTTCCTCCACATCCTTGCCAGCACTTGTTTGTTGATTTATTGATGATAACTATTCTGACAAGTGTGAGGTGACTTCACAACTCTCATTGTGCAAGGAGATTGTTTTTTTCTTTTTTATTGAGCAAGTATGTGGAGAAATGAATCCTTTAAATTTTTATTGTAAAACTAGTATTCTTTAAGGATAAAAAGAGGATTATATTGTATTCTGTGGCAGTGAAGTGCTATTTTAAGAAAGGGCTAAAAAGTTCAGATTTTCCCCTAGAAAGGCTATTCTTGCTGTACGTGGTAGAGAATGGTTTGGAGTCAGGAAACACTAGATAAGGAGATCCTTCATGAAAAGATCCTCAATTTAGGAAGTGGTAGTGATAATTGAGAGATTAGATGGGAGGTTTCTGGTTTGGGCATCTAAGAAGATGATGATGCCATTTACCCACACAGAAAACACAGGGAAGAGTGAAACAGATAAGAGAGTAGAAGATGATGATTTAAGATTTGTGAAGAAATGGAACAAAGTTCTGAGTTATCTGAGGTTTGGTGTAGGTTCTGAGCATTCTTAGTAGTCAGAGAACTTTCAAATACTTTTTATTTCAGAAAGGAGTGTATTTATCTGCATGTTTTCTTCATTGCTAGGGTAGAGGAGTGCTATGGAGACTAATGATGTCATAATCCCCTGCTGTAAACCAGTAAGAACACGCTGGTGGGTCTGGCTCAGTCTTTAGGGTGAAGGATATTTAAGTCATCCCATCCTGGCCACAGCTACATGATGTTTACAAAAGTGTGGGGGTGGGGTGGTGGTGGTGAAGGGATACTGCTTTTTGGTTTTGTTTTGCTTTGTTTTTACTTTTAGGAGAAGCATGAGACTATAATCCTCCCTTTCAAATTATATTGGTTCCAGACTTGACTCTTTCTTTGTTCATGGTTCAGTGGGGCACAATTTTCCTGTCTTAGTAGAAAGCACACAGAGAGTTCCCTAATGTATTTTTAATTACATTTAGTCATTTGGTTATTTTAAGTAAGATCAAGTTAAAATGTTGTATTTTTTTTTAGAGTGGACATTTCAAGGTATTAAATTTTAGAGAGATGGCTTTCATTCATTTGGATATCAGATGCCTATATGCCATTGTTATTTACACAGCATTTGGCTCTACTTTGTCTTCAAACGCTGAGATTAAAGGTAAACCAACAATGGGGTAGTTTGAAAATTAGGGATATTAACTGTGTTTTCAACTTGACCTAAAATAAAGTACATGACAAGTAGATGGATTATTATTGGAAGTAATTCAGGAAATCCATACACAAAAGATATGTTCATATTAGTCAGTACCATGTATAAGGTAACTGATGATAACTAACATCTTTTGGGATAAAATACAAACTAAAAGACCCTTTCTAAATATTTTCTATACTCCTCTCTAATGAATATGTTAATTATCTGAAACATCACAGCCTGATACCCAACTAACTGAAATTTTCCTTAATTACTATCCTCAACTTTTAAGACAATTAGATAAATAAAAATACAGAGATTTAACATAAAATTTAAAATTAATTACATAATTATTAAATTATGTCTCATGAACTCTTCTTATAACTGAAGGTAATTAGAACAATGCACTTGACAAAAATGTCTAACCATAAAAGTTGAAACAACAAGATTGTCATTTCTTCCCCAATGGAGACCTTCTTTACCGATACATGAGGATCCTACATCAAATTATTATTTGTGCCACAATTTCTTTCTGTGGGTTCTTTTACCCTCATATTAGTAAGTGTTATAAAGTATTAAATGAACAACAGGGCAGAAATGAGAGGAAATTGTCGGGAGGAAGGCAACGTGAGGGTTGTAGTATAGTACTACTAGCTTTGCTAGTAGGAAAGTTTATAGAATATTTGTTTGTTTTCATTGCTTTTTAAATGATCAGATGGAGGAGCCATTGCCTCCTACTGCCTCTTTGCCCAGAATAAAAGAGGCTGTTTCCTGATGTCACTCTATTCAGCTGCCTGCCACTTCTTGAATCCTTCCAAAGAGTGGCTCTGGTTTGCCATACTGTAGGGATGGCTCTGAACTTTAGTTTACTAGGATTTAATTAACCAGACTAGACCAAGCCGATCTGCTTGATCCCCTGATTCTTAAGGCCTTTAGCCATAGTAATTATATTTTATATTTTCTATCCCTTTTTTTGTGTGTGCTATGATATTATATGGATATGGTAAACACTGAATTAAGACTGTTTGGTTCCTGCTATTAGAGAGATTTGTAATAGAGTGTAATAGAGTGTTCCCACACTAGACTAAATTATGATCTGTATGACCACAGAGATAACTCCATGTGAATTTCTTGTTTCTGTGAAAACTTAGTACCTCACTAGGCAAAGTCACATTTTGCATATGTGATTTCTTAAAAAGGGGATAACTATATAGCAGTAATCCAATTTTTTAACTGCTTTATTTAGATGTGATTTACATAGCAAAAAACTGCTTTTAAAGTGTACTGTTCAGTGGTTTTAAAAAATTCACAAGGTTGTATAACACCCACCAGTATCAAATTCTAGAATATTTGCATCACCCCAAAAAGAAACCCCATATCCATTCAGTAGTCAGGTCTCATTCTCTTCTTCCCCCAGCCCGTGGCAACCACTAGTGTTTTCTGTCTCAGTGGATTTGCCTAGTCTGGATCTTTTATGTAAATGGAACCATGCAATATGTGGTCTTTTGTACTGGCTTATTTCATCTGTCTTTATGTCTTCATGGTTCTTCATGTTGTGGCATATATCAATACTTCATTCCTTCTTATGGATGAATAATAGTTCATTGTATAAATGTACCACAGTTTATTTATCTATGCATCAGTTGATGGACATATGGAAGTAATCTAGATTTAGTAATTTTTGTCATTATATACAAAACAAGGAAAAATATTTTTATTTTATTTCAGTTAATCCTCCTCAAGATTTTGAGATAGTGGATCCTGGATATTTAGGTTATCTCTATTTGCAATGGCAACCTCCACTGTTTCCGGATAATTGTAAGGAGTGCATAGTAGAGTATGAATTAAAATACCGAAATATTGATAGTGAAAACTGGAAGGTAAGTAATGCATGCAGTTGTGGTATCACAGTGATTATTAGGAGTTTTCTTGTGATTCTTGATGTCAGTGTCCACTCTAATTCCCGTCTCTCCATAGCTATTAGTAGGATAAAACAAGCTGTCATAGCTGCTGCTTTTTCATGTGCTTCTGTCACATCTATTTTTACCCCATCCAGTATGAAGACTACTATTGGAAGTGTAGAAAAAAACAAACAAAACACTTGGTCCCATGGAATATAAACTTGAAGAGTACTTATACATTTTACCATATTTTATAGCTACTTATATACCTGTATTTTGGTCTTATGTATGGTACTAGACTATGGATTTTTTTCTCTGTGGGAATCAAGCCTTACTTATCTTTGTACTCACTCCATGGAACACAGCATGGTTCTCTGCATATATTTTAGTAAATTGGATTAACTATTTACATAGTCAGCAAGCGTGTTCATTCAAAGATTTTTGTTGTACAAGAATTCTGTTACCCTCCTAATTTAGCTAGGTAGTTTCAAGGGGAAATTCTTTTATTTTTTATTATGTTTTATTTTTTAATCCTGATCCAAGGACATGCTCATTGATTCCAGAAAGAGGGGAAAGGAGGGAGAAAGAGAGAGAGAGAAACATCGATGTGAGAAACATTGATTGGTTTTCCTACATGCCCCTGACCAGGGACTGAACCCGCAATTCAGGCACATGCTCTGACTGGGAATAAAACCCGTGACCTTTTGGTTTGCAGAATGACACCCAACTAACTGAGCCACAATGGCCAGGGCTCAAGGAGTAATCCAAATGAAACATTTATTTAGCAACTGTCTGTTCCCAGCACTCTGCTAGGGAACAGGAATACAAGGATAAATGATATATGATTTTAGTCTTCTAGGACGAGGGTCCCCAACCTCTGGGACAAGGACCAGTACTGGTCTGGGCCTGTTAGGAACCAGGCTGCAGAGCAGGAGATGAGCTTGAAAGTAATGTACTTGAATCATCCCGAAATCATCCCCCAACCCTGGTCTGAGGAAAAATTTTCTTCCACAAAACCGGTCCTGGGAGCCAAAAAGGTTGGGGACGCTGCTCTAGGAGCTCACAATTTATTTGACTTTCTTCAGTTAACTCCAATATTTTACTTTATATTATTCCTGAAGAATCCATATGATATTTGAAAGGTGATAAGTCATTTGCCATGTAATATGTGCATGGTATGCAAAAGTTATCTCTTGATTTCAAGTAGGTTATAATGTAAATCCTACCATAGAGCCTTTTTTCTCTTCCATAATTTTTTGGGTTTTTTTTTACTGCTATGTAAGAGTCAAATGATCTCACCAAATGATATGATATACAGAAGTGAGTTCTGCCAGAAATATAACTGAGACATTGATTGTATTGTATAATCATGAGTAATTTCTTAGATATTGGGAACTCTCCAGAGTATTAATGACTTATTAGCTTTATTAATGTGGTTTATGATGCCATCACTGTTTCTAAGCTTGACTTTGTCTCATGTTTTTATCAAACAGACGATCATTACTAAGAATCTACATTACAAAGATGGGTTTGATCTTAACAAAGGTGTTGAAGCAAAGATACATACACTTCTGCAAGGGCAATGCACAAATGGATCCGAAGTTCAGAGTTCATGGTCAGAAGCTACTTATTGGACATCACCTCAAGGTTAAAACAAAGCTTTCCTTTCATATTTAATACTGTTAGAACAATCCATATAGGGAATAAGTCCTTTAGCTCTTATATGTGAGATTGCATGTACAGTTGAGAGTATGGCACAAAAGGAATCCTTTTTAGGAGTGGGTGGCTGGCCTTTTTGAATCCTTTAAATTAGCAAACACATTTGGCAAAACCTAAATCTTGTTAGGTTAATATAGTTTCCAGTTTTGGGGTCATATTAATAAATATGCATGTGAGCATTTGCTCAACTGCTCAGAGCATTCTAGAATTATTAATTTAGTACTTGCATATATGCTTACACTAGTACTTACACTAGTAAATGAGCTCTCAAAGGTTTTTGATTTTGCATGCCCCACTTACAGTGAAGTGATTTTCAACACCTTCTTTTTGGAATATCCTTGATTGTGTTGATTGCTAAATTAAATGGAGAGGTAAAAGGAAATGCAAAAGAATTGTACAGCGATTTCCCAAATGACTCATCACTGTGCCTTTCAAGCATTCACAGTTCATTCATTCCTTAGGAGATTTGGAAACTAAAGTTCAGGATATGAACTGCATATATTATAACTGGCAATATTTACTCTGCTCTTGGAATCTTGGCACGGGTGTTCATTTTGATACCAATTACAACTTGTTTTACTGGTAAGTATTTTTATAATAAGAATCCCATATTAGGGAAATATCTATTAAAATTAATCCATAATATGAGAAATTGTATTTTCACTTAATTAAATCCATTGTATTTTTCAGTGTTGTATTTATGATGAAGTTGTTTATAATTATTTGGGGTTTTAAGGGAGAGGAAATAGGTTTAGGCTGTGGCTCCTGGAAGATACTCTGTGGGTGATGTCAGAATGCAATCACTGTTTTTATACTAGATTAACTTTTGTATTCTTTAGATAGATGGAATTTTAACCTAAAAACATTGGCATGTTTTATATTTTTGCTTTTTAAAAAAGCAAATACTTATTAAAACTGGATCCTTTTTCTGACTTTCCTACCTTTGGTAACCATTACTAGGGCTTTTAAACTTAACAGTCATCTTGAATCTTTTATCTCCTTCATTCCTTAATTGTTTCATGGTAATATTGACCATGTCCTGATACTCCTCTGCTAGGTCATACATCTGTTCTTTACTTCCCATCACTTCGGTAAGAACATTACTTTGGGCTCAGCTCATTTCACACCTAGATGATTGGGATAGCTTCCCAAATGAAGGTTTCTCTGCTTTCAATCCCCCGCTTCTTATTCATACTTATCTCCCCTTCTTATTCACACTGAAGTCAGATTTATCTTCCTATACTGCAATATTCATATGCCATTCTTTCGCTCAAAAATCTCCAGTGGCTACTCATCACCTCCACGATAAAATCCAGACTGCCATTCAGGTCTCTGCCTCACTGTATCACTGTCTTTCCAATGTTACCTCCTACTATCACCACTGTGAAAGTTCCACTTGACTTAGGCCCATGTCTACATTTTTTTCTCACTCATGTTATGCTCTTTTATGCTTTTGGGTGCATTGCTAAATGAAATGCTCTATGGATCTCTCTTTTATCAACTCTTATCCATCCTTCAAGGGTCATCTGGTATTAAATCTCCTTAAATCTTTACTGATCACATCAATTTTTGCTCAGTTTTTCTCTGAAATATTACTTATTGTCCAGATAACATTTAACTTTTTGTCATATATATGCACATATGTTTTGTCTTCTCTCTTAAATTGTTAAGAGATTGGTGGGCATGAACTGTTTCTTCTATTTCTCTTGACTATCTATGCTTTGCCCATAGTGAACTATCACTAAATATTTATTAAATGAATGAAACAAATGATGTACTTATTAAATAATAGAAAAAGTATTTTTCCCTCTGCCAGAGCTGTGCTGGGCCTGCAGGTCTGTGGCAAGCTGAGGACATGGGTCTTTTTTTTGTAGGCCGGGGTTTGTTAAAGTTGTCAAAATTAAGGCCTACTTCAAGAGATACCAAGTGAAATTTAGATGATGATGAGAGAGTAAAACTGATTGCTATGCCTAAAAACACTCATAATCCAGGATAAAAACGAATACAATAAACCTAAATACAGGACAATAGTTCATGTAGCCAACAGAGGTGTCATTTGTCAGATTGCTTATGCCTGTATAGAAGGAGATATGATAGTTTATGCACCTTATGCTCATGAGCACTCCCAAGTATGGTGTGAAGGTCAGCCTGACAGGTTAGGCTGCAGCATATTGTACTGTCCTGCTGCTGGCCCGCAGGCTCTTGAGTAGGTTTGACATGGTCAAGATCTGTGAAGGCCAAGTGGAGATGACTGGAGATGAATACAATGTGGAAAACACTGATTATCAACCTGGTGTCTTTACCTGCTATTTGGGTGCAGGTGTTGCCAGAACTACTACTGGACATAAAGCTGTGGGGGCCCTGGAGGGAGCTGTGGATGGAGGCTTGTCTGTCTCTCATAGTACCAAATGATTCTCTGGGTATGGTTCAGAAAGGAAGAAATTCAGTGCAGAAGTACATCAGAAGCACATCATGGGCCAGAACATTGCAAATTATATGTGTTACCTAATGGGAGAAGATGAAGATGCTTACTAGAAACAATCCTCTCAGTATATAAATAACAGTGTAACTCCAGACACGATGGAGGATCTGTATAAGAAAGCTCATGCTGCTCTATGAGAGAATCCAGTCTGTGAGAAAAACCCTAAGAAACAAGTTTAAAGAAAAAAGAAGTTGAACAGTTTCAAAATGTCTCTTGTCCATAAGAAAGATTATGTATCTCAGATAAAAAAAAGCAAGCTTCCCCAGAGCTCCTAATGGGCTGCTGAGAGCTAATAAACCAAACCACAATTTTTTATGAAGATTTTTCAGATAGAGGCAATAAACTTACTGAACAAGCGAAAAGAAAAGAAAAGAAAAGAAAGGGGAAAAAAAGAAAAAGAAAAAAAAAGAAAAAGAAAAAGCATGAGAGGACAAAGTGTTACTCTTTGTGAGTTTTAGGCCCAAATTGTCATGGCATCTTTCTTTAGAAAATCATAAAGTGATAAGATATACGTTATTAAGTCTTGATAACTTGGATCTAATCTCTGCTCTGACATCATTTCACTAAATGGGTAAGCAATTTCCCTTTTTGGGCGCTCAGTTTCCTCATTTGAAATTGGATGTGCCAGTTTCTAAGGTATAACATTTTGTTCATCAATGCAACAAATATTAAGCAATTATTAAATGCCAGGCTATGTTATACATAAAAAGACAAAAATATGAATAAGAAAAAGCCCCTGCCCTCTTGTACATTGTATTTAATGTTTAACTTAATTTTGTCATCATCTTAGTAAAGCAGTGAAGGATAAATATAGAGAATGCAAAATAAGAGTATCCTGAGGCTTCTCACTGACACAAAGTAAATGTGTGTAAAGTCAGACCTACAAGTCAAGTCTCTAATCAGGTGAACTGACCAAGAGATTATAATTTTACAGACTCTGGCTAAAGTAAATACTTGACATAAAGTGAATTCTATAGAATCCAGATATTTGTACCAGCATCATTGGATTGACCTTATTTCAAAAGGAGAATTTTGGCTGCTTTTATAGATAATGTCACATTTTGCATTGCAAGATTTTCTTTAGGAAAATAAACCAGACATTTGTTGCTTTGGAAGGCAGTAGGGAAATCCCCCTTAATTCCCATTAGCTTTATTACTGGGAAGAGCTTAACTTTCAATATGGCAACATTTCTTGGCTAGGAGGTTGGGAAATTACATATTTACTTGGCAAATATTTCCTCTTTTCCCTTTTCACCCTATTGGTTTTTCTGAGGTTTATCTCTTGATGTGTATTGTGTCCTCAGGGAATTTTCATTTATTTTATTAAATATAACAATATTTTGTAAATCTGTTTTCAATCTGCTTTCTTTAAAGGTAAGTTCTCCAGTACAATATAGACAAGGCAGTATCACTTAGCATAACTGTTGTTGCAAATGACAAAATTTCATTCTTTTTTATTGCTGAATAATATTTTTCTGTCTCTCCACATATGTGTGTGTATGTGTGTGTATGTGTGTATTTACATCTCACATCTTTATCCATTCATCTATATACATGCACATCTAGGTTACTTCCTTATCTTGCCTGTTGTAAATAATGATTCAATAAACATAGAGTGCATATATTTTTTCAAATTAGTGCTTTAATTTTCTTCGTATAAATACTCAAAAGTACAAATAGCTGGGTCATATTGAAGTTCTAGTTTTAATATTTTGAGGAACTTCCATAATGTTTTCCATAGTGGCTGCACCAATTTATAATCTCACCAACAGTGCATGTGGGTTGCCGGAGGAGAGGGGCTTGGGAGAATGGGTGAAGAAAGTGAAGGGGAAAAAGAGGTCCAAACTTCCAGTTTTAAAATAAATAAGCCACAGAAATGTAGTGTGCAGCACAGGGAATATAGTCAATAATTATAATAACTTTGCACAGTGAGGATAGTTACTAGACTTATTGCGATCATCATTTTGTGAGGTATACAGATGTTGAATCTGTGTTGTACACCTGAAGCTAAGATAATATTAAACTAAGCCAACTATAATACTAGAAAAAAGCAGTATCATCTAGAGTTATATAAATCCCTGTTTTTCTTAATAAGAATATTATTTTTGATTCATAAATCCTGCTGGTGAATCAACATAAATTTGCATTATCTTTGAAATTTTGTAAAGGTTTCATGGACTATGTCTGCTTTCCTTACTGTGGTATCCCTAGCACTTATCATAGGATCTGACACATAGTTGTTACTCAATAAATATTGCATGTTCTTAAGTGATTTTTAACTCACTTAGTGTCTTAAGATAATTGAAAATTGGGCACTATAATACTAGAAGATATTGGTAAAACAATTCTTGCAAAACTTCCCTTTACAGGTATGAGGGCTTGGACCATGCATTACAGTGTACTGACTACATAAAGGGTAATGGAAAAAATATTGGATGCAGGTTTCCTTATTTGGAGTCACCAGACTATAAAGATTTCTACATCTGTGTTAATGGATCATCAAAATCCCAGCTTATCAGACCCAGCTATTTCATTTTTCAGCTTCAAAATATAGGTGAGGTAACCAAATAACTTTAAAATGTTTCTAGTTTAGGCCATTTACAACCAAATGGAAGAGAAAAGGTAGACATAGAGAGATAGATATAGAGATAGAGGTGGAGACCTATTAAAATACAAAGCCATAAAAATGAGGGCCAACAGAGCATATGAGGAAGCTTTTTAAAATTTTATTTTTTAGTATTTTATTGTTATTCTATTACAGTTGTCCCAATTTTTCCCCTTTGCCCTCCTCTGCGCAGCCCACCTCCCGCTCCCACAGTCAACCCCCACATTGTTGTCTATGTCCATGGGTTGTTCATACATGTTCTTTGACTAGTCAAGGAAGTATGAAAGATAAAGAATTGAATAAAAAGTAAAGTGTCATTTTCATTAGAACTCACAATCTGCTTCCTGGCTTCAAAGGGCTGGTCTGCTCTACAATATTATTGTCTAGTGTCAGTGATGGAGTAATTATGGAATCACTTACTTCCAGGCCTCAGTAGGCAAATAGTTGGATAATTTTTGAGTTTAGGTTCTCAGTTCTAACAGTTAACAACAATAACAGCTTCTAGTGTCAGCTATACCTGGGCCCTGAATTTACCACTTTCTAGCTGTATGACTTTCAGCAGGTTACTTTTTAACATATTTCAATTTCCTTATCAGTAAAGCAAGGATAATGAAGGATCACCTCATAGATTTACTGTGGGATATGTATGGATTTATGATATAATATCCCTGGTTCAGTGCCTGATACATCACAAGCTCTAAGTATGTTAGTTATTAATAAAAATAGTAGTAGTCATAGTTGTAGTTGTTTCTAATGCTATTGTAGGGGCTAAAACTTTTCCTATGCATTTCTAGGTTCCTTTGACTAGTCTAATAATTAAATTGACAAGACAGATTAACAGGAGAGAAGCAAATTTAATTACATATGTAATTAAATGATTAATTAAGAGAGCCCCCACATAGACATGAGAAGCCCGAAGTCAATTAGGCAATTGAGGCTTATATGCCATCCTGAGCTAAGGAGAAAGGCCCAGAGGTCTGGAGCTTCAAAGAGAAGGAAGACAATTCACAGGGAGTTGGAAAGAGTAAATGGTAAACAAATGTTTACAATGCCATGCAGAGACAATGAGACCCAGACATGACTTTCATCAAATAGTCCCTGCCAGCTCTCCCCAGCCCACAACACCTGGCCCATACACTTGGTAGTTATATCTGGTGATAGCTCTCTTCCTGGACCAACCCCTATTTAAATTCTTTCAGTTAGTTAAGTGGGAGGTTAAGGAAAAGAAAAGAAAAGAAATAAAACTTCCTGAGTCTTTTGGACCCTGAATCAATTGTCTTTAGCTCAAAATAATCCACATGCTGAAGTGGCACATTTTGTGGTAATATATTCTGCTTCCCTTCACTATAAAATGAAAAAATGACTGTAATGATTTGGATCACCTTTTTTCTTCTGCTTTATTATTTGTCAATATGTGATTCATGAAAAATTAGTTTCCAAAACAACCAAGTTTATTAATAACCCAAACTCAGTTGGCAAGCAACTTTGATTTTAATTCACATTATAGAGAGTAGTCTTGAGCCACCTGATTTGTCCTAGTAACTTAGGTTTCCTTTGCTTTTGATAAAGACTACTGCTAAACTTCAGTAACCTCCATGCTGAAATGATTTCCTTTTGCTTTTTAGTTAAACCTTTGCCACCCGACTATCTTAGTATTACTGTGAAGAATTCAGAAGAAATTAACCTGAAATGGAACGTACCTAATGGACCCATTCCACCAAAGTGTTTCATTTATGAAATTAAGTTCACAGAAGATGATACTACCTGGGTGGTATGAGCATTACATTTATTTGGGAAAAGCAAACATAGTCTTTTAAATAAAGTAACAAACATGAGAACCAATCAACTGCTATCAATAGGAGGTAGCACAGGAGGTAACATGACATTGACATGTATCTTAGTTTAATTTCCAGAAAATCTAGTGGGCAAAAGAAAGATTTTTGCTGTCTGAAGGTATAATCAATCATACCAATTTTAAAGCTTCACAGGACCTTAGAGATAATCTAGTCACTTATTTTTAATAATGTGTGAATAAATTAAAATTTCCAAGTAAGTGCATAAGATAGATTATGAAGAGGTCTCAGGTTAAAAAAAAGAACAAAATAAACACAAACATAAAAACTACTTCTTGAGGAACAACCATCAGGTCAAAGTTAGAGTTGAGTCTAGCCAGCTTCCTGAGAATTGCTTGTGGCAGGGAAAAAAGCTTAACGGGAAGTAGGCAAGACTAATTATCCTTCAGCACCAACAGTGTGATGATGCTATTAGCCCCACATTGTTATATGTTAATTTTAATGATTGATTTCCAACTTAAAGGGTGATGGAAAAAAAGTAAGTGAGGCATTATTTCTAATAATTTCATAAACATGAGAAAAATGAGAGTCGAATTGATTTACAAGTCTCAAGGAAGTGAATTGATTTACAGTCACATTACACAGCTAGAACTAAAGTCCAGATCTTATTCCCTGTCCACTTTAACCTATAGTACATTATGTTGGTTCCCAAGAAAGTTACAATAAAACAAAAGCTGTTATTTTGGATGAGAAACACTCTTCAGCTCTTTAAAATGTAAAATTGAAGTAATTGCTTCAGTGATTTTTTTTCCTTTGAGATTATCCACCTTTGTGTATTCTTATATCTGAAAGAGTAGTTTCATGCCAAGCACTGAGAACCTGTGACAGAGGTCTTACGGCGATTAACCAAAATAAAAAGAGGGAAAAAGCTTTATGTGTATCAATTGTGTATTTTCCATAGAAACAACATTCACATGATGGCTCTTTTTCTAATACAGTATATGTAGCATTTTCCAACGCATGAAGCCTTGGAAATTTGGCACTAATCCATATACTGGGTGTCACAAACACCAAAGTTACCTAGGAATTGTGTCCTGTCACACATGCCCTTTAGTGCATGTGATCCATTGTCACTATAGAAAAAATTTAAAATATAGATAAGGAAAGGAAGAAAAAAATGAAAAAAGTAACCCACCTTACTGAGATAATCACTGTTAAGATTTTGGTATATATATTTCTAGTAATTTGATGTATATATTTTATGTAACAAAATCTACTTTGAAAGTAACAAAACAAATGGGATTGGTCTAGCTACAATTAGATCAAATAATGACATCTTATTTTTTCCTTGGCTTTCAGACTACCACTTTTGAAAATGAAATATATGTCACAAGAACATCAAATCAAAGCCAACAATTATGCTTTTTAGTGAGAAGCAGAATGAATATTTATTGCTCTGATGATGGAATTTGGAGTGAATGGAGTGATACACAATGCTGGAGAGGTATGAGATAAAAGAACAGCAACTAAATAACTGACTATTTGCTAGCAAAATTAATTTTCTTTCAGTTTATTTTGTAATTATTGAAATCAAAAGGCTCTTTCATAGAGTCTATAATTAGAGAAATTAGCAAGTACCTTAATCAAACATAGACTTATGGAAAATCTAATATTCAGTTTTAGCTGAGAGTAGTTAAAGTAGTTAAATTAAGAGTCTTGTTATAGTTCTATTACCAACATTCTTGTTTTTCTGACTGTCAGTAAAGAGAACATGCTAGTTCTTTTCTGGGGGGAGGTCTATATTAAAAAATATTTTCCTATACTGTAAATTTTTAAGAGAACAGAAATCTTAAAGCAAGGATAGGTCAGCATATACCTGTTTTTGAGTGTCTAGTACTATGCCTAATGAATATTTTTCTACTTAATATGTCATTATAAGTAAAATAGACATTTCATTGAGATCCAACACTGATTTAAAGAACATGATAAAATACATATTGAAAGAGCAATATAAACTAAAAAGTCTTGAGAATGAGGCAAAATATTATTATATTTCACAGTGTAGTAGCTTTATCAATAGAAATGACTAATAATTGTTAGAAATTGAAGTAAATTAACTTAGCATTGCTCTTTCAGATATACAAAGGTATATAAATACATATACATATGTAGACACAGACAGATCCTGGCATTTCTAGCTATCATTTATCTCCTTTCATGTTGTTCCATTATACCAGAATCACTGACTATTTATCTACCTATTAATAGAGTGCTATTATTGTTCTTTTTCATTTTTCAAATATTTATTAAGCACCTACTATGTGTCACACTTTTCAAGCATGAGAGATACAGCAGTAAAAAAAATACTTGTCCTCAAGAAATTTTTACTTTATTCCCAAGTTGAGAAGATATAGGCAACAAACAAAGAAGCCAAATGTATCATACATATAAACACTAAGGGTTATGGAGAAAAAATAGGCAGAGAGATGGAGAACTCAATTAACTAAGAGATAATATGAAATCAGAACAAACACTTACTGGTTCTACTTTTTTCACTTTGTCACCACTATAAGAAATCTGTAGACTCTATGGAACTGACATTGAGAAAGTCATTTCCTACTGGTATCTTGTCATTAGTCGATGCATAGTTTATGGTGAGTTTTTAACCACATCCTCAAAATCTACATCTTTTTATATATTTTACATATTGTATTAACTATGATATTGATGACTGAGATTTCTTTTTCCCTGATAGATATCGAGTAACTCTCAAAGAATTTCCTGAGATGCATGTGGTTTTAGTTCTTTGGGCTATATTTTATTGGATGTTTCAAGTTATAAAAATAGGACAATTTTTTAAATGAAAATATATCTTCTTCAGGGCTTACTCTACATATAGATAAAGCAACTGGAACCTTAGGAAAGAAACCTGCTTTTTCCACTGTTTTTGCATGCCAAAAACTTACATTATTAGTTATTTTTCTGGATTATACCCTTGCAAATCTTAACTGAACTGACCATATGAATTTGACTTAGTAGAAAATAAGATTCAAAAGGAATACGACAAAGAAAAACATGAGGTTGTGGGTAGTTTTAAGTGTATGTATGGGCCTAGGATCCAAGATGTTCTGTAGTACTACTTCAAAACAAGTGAGAGATACTAGTTTTGTAAGGTCAAGCTTTGTCTACTTTCTAAGTCTGTCTAGTGATTGCTCATTTTTTGCTATGCAAAAAAAAAAACATTAAAAATCCATCTCTAAAAGAAAAAAAAATGCCTTGACTGGTGTGGCTCAATTGGTTGGGCATCTTTCTGCAAAGCAAAAGGTCACCAGTTCAATTCCCAGTCAGGGCACATAGCTGGGTTGTGGTCCCTGGTCAGGGACATGTGAGCAGCAACCAATTGATGTTTCTCTCCCTGTCTTTTTCTCTCCCTTCTACTCTCTCTAAAATAAAATAAAATAAAAATTTAAGAAAAGAAAAACTTTACCTCTTAAGTCACTGAAATGTGAGACAACTTTAAAATCATAACCTTTAAAAACTAGACCCATTATTCACATATGAACTTATACTGAAGACCAGCTCTTACTCAGTAGCATTATATGATATAAACATATGACTTATTGAGAGTTAAGAGATACACAAGATATGTTTATTTTATCACTTGGCTAATATTTTATCACTTTGTTCCTATGAAAAATTCATAAGGTCAATTTTTAAACAAAACCATGTCAGAAAATAAGAATTGGGCTTTGGGGAGTTCTTTTGCTAAGTGAAATGAAGAGATATCACACTTCAGTGAGGTAGTTGTTCTATATAAAAAGTGCACAAATGAAAGAAATGGTACAAACGTAACTGTGGTATCTATGTACTGACAAAGATGGCAGAAGTTTCTGTGTTAAAACTCAACTCTTCACCATTTACTAGATTGTTTACAAAATAATTCAGTTTCAAAAATTGTTGTAAACATCTAACCCTCCCCCCCTTTCTTATGATTTTTTTTTCACCCAGGTGGCATAAGGAAGGAAATCTTGCTATTTTTCTTGACACCATTTGCTTTTGTCTTAATTTTTATTCTGTTAATAAGTTGCCTGCTTACTTCTAAGCACAAAGCTTTACTAAAAATGGTAAGTTGTATAACATTATAATACTTACTCTGGGACAGTAGATAAAAAGAAATGTTCTGCATTTAGGACTAATGGACTTATATTTTATAATTTTGCTTACATACTGTGGATGGACAATTGATGTTATATGGATTGTGATGATATCTTCAGAAAATACAGCAATTTAAAAATTAACCCTAAAAAGCTACATTCTGGGGTGGATTTATTTTCCCTGAAATAAAAGAATAATGCTTTGGAATATGAAGCACTATTTACATTTAGATTAGGGAAAAATATAAGAAAAGAGTTACAGGAGAAAAGCAGGATTGGAAGAAAAAATTGAATGACTAAAGATGGACATACTCTGAGAAATATTATTAGCATTCCACAGGCAGAAGATCATAAAAATTAAAAGCCAGGGTGCCTATCCCTCAAGCACTCACACCCTAGTTGAGGAAGATAGAATTCATACAAAAATAACCTGCATTATGAGCTGATTTTTAGATGATTGTTATTTGAGTTGTACAGATAATGTAATAGAATTTCAGAAGATGAAGGGATCACTATGGATTCGTGGGCTTTCAGGAGGAATTATGACTTGGTGGAAAATATGTTAATATTAAGTCTTTTAAAGATAAAAAAATTTGCATAATATGTTTCACTTCATTTTTCTGCTGAATGCTTTTTTACTTTGCCTATTCCTGCGAGTTATTAATGTAAGTCAAATAGTTTGTTATTAGTGTCTATTTGTTGATAATAAAGCTCTTTTTTTTTAAAATTTCAGGTGTTTCATACAAAACAAGAAGTCTTTTCTCATCAAGAGACACTCTGTTGACTCAGTCATTTTTTCTTATGGCCAAATGTTAACTATGAGTCTTATTAAACTGAAATTTTTCTCCAAATGTTTAATAAACCTGATTTTAAAAGCATTGTGTTTAAGTAGTCTTTAAATTATTAAATCCCTCAACTAGTAGTAACTTTTCTAGATTCTATTAACAAGGTTTTCCTCAGTAATATGCAGTGAGAGTGCTGCACTTACAGAAGTCAAGGGATGGGTCAGATTCTATTCAGTGATGTATTCATTCTTAGTGGCAAAAAAATAGCACCAGGTGTTAGCCTTGGTTCAGCCACCTCAGTTCCTGAGTTCTAGCTGACAGAATTCAGAGCCAAGTCTCAAATTATAAAAGAAATTTTAGTTAGAAAATCACAGGTGTAGAAGGGTCCTTGGAGCTTAGGAGAAAGAGGGAGAGAGATACAGACGTGCCTTGAAGGAAAAAAGAGGGAGAGGTTCGGGTGTGCTCTGGAAAAGAGAGAGAGCTAGCATGGGAGTGCCCACACTGGGAAAAGAAGAGAGTGGGGAAAACCGCTGGCATGCTCCAAGACAGAGCCATGCTGGGTTCTCCATCCCGAGGACTTTTATCTGAGGTCTCAGGGGAGAATCTCAATACACTATTCATCATCTTTCCCAATGTGTCTCTTTGAGGTCATGGTCTCCAATGATTGGTCTGTACCAGGGGATGGGGTCAATAGACACTGCATCTGGTCCTGATGTCAGCCATGGCATTGCTCCACTGGGTTTTGCTGCTTCTCTGGGCTTGGAGCTGAAACACCGCTGAGGCCTAGATGTGATATCCAGGGATTAATGCTTAAGGGAGCAGTAGTGCAAGGGTTAGTAGTTTTGCCTGTTGCTAGATACCTGGGGCTCTCTGCCCTGGTAACCCTCTACACCTGGCCCACTATTCCTGTTCTGCACATGTCTATTTAACTGCTTACTACATTAATAAAACAATGTGATTTCACAGCTTGCTCTAAGCAATAGAGACATTGTCAAGTCTTGGAAGATGAGAGTCTAATTTTGAAAAAAAATTGCACTTGGAATGAAAGTGTTCATCATAGAAAGGTTGTCTGGCTTTAATAATAACCCATGAAGTAGATTATTAATAAGTTTTAAATACATTCATAGTGTAATGTGTGCTTCACATTTAATGAAAGAAGTGAAAGGAATATACTGCCTAAAAGGCTGAAAGTAATAAATTGACTAGAGACAATATTTGAAAAATTCAGATGTCACAAACTACACTAAAAAATTTGGGAGTTTCCTCTACTAGCCAGCAGGCAACATATTTTCCTTTTTCTTTTTTTTCCAGTTATTGCTCGTGGAATTTTATTTATTTATTTTTATTTTCATGTTTTTAAATTTATAAATCATGTTTATTCTATTACAGTTGTCTCAATTTTTACCCCTTTACCCCCTCCACCCATCCCACCTCCACCCCCTGCTCCCACAGTCAATTCCCACTCTGTTGTCGATGTCCATGGGTCATTCATACATGTTCTTTGTTTAGTCCCTTTCCCTTCTTTCCACCATTGTCCTCTTTCCCCTTGCCCTCTGGTCATTTTCAGTCTGCTCCATGTTTCTGTGCCTGTGGTTTACTTTGTTCATTAGTTTATTTTGTTGAATAGAGTCCACTTATACGTGAGATCATATGGAATTTGTCTTTCATCAACTGGCTTATTTCACTTAGCTTAATATTCTCCACATCCATCAATGTTGTCACAAAAGGTAGGAGTTCCATCTCTCACTCTCTCTCTCTTTCTCTTTTTCTTTCTTTCTTAAATGCAGGTTGATTTTATTTATTTTTTTAAAATGACAAAGTTAATTATAAAATATTAAGAAACATTTAAAACCAGTATAAAGTCTCAGCAATTAAACCAACATTATACCAGCACAGAAAAATACAAGTAGATCAATGAAATATAATGAGCATTCTAGAGACAAACATATATATCTGTATAACAATATATGATTAAGTTGATATTTTAAATCAATGGGTAAAATAAGGCTTATTCAACAAATAAGGTGCATGGACCACTATTACTTGAAATAAAACAAATATAAAGGCCTATTTCACACATTATGCAAGAAATATTCAGATGAGTAAAAAATCAATATGCAGGAAGGGGGGAAAAAGATGGCGGAGGAGTGAATGGGAGTCACGCTGACCTCCTCCCAAGACCAAACTGGAATTGCGACTAAATAGTGGAGAAATCACCTGGAAAACAATGGAACGGTAGAGGGAGAGGAGCCTTGGAGATGCGGACAGACAGTGGAATCAACTTTCACACATCCGAATGGGTAAGAAGTGCGGTTGAGGCTCGTGAGGGTGGGCTGGGTGCCTATGGGCACAAGCACCAGAGGGACATTGAAATGGCCAGTTGGATCCCCCTGAGAAGAACAGGGTCTGAACCATAAACAGGGACCCCTAGACTACAGCTGTTGAAACCAGGAAAATGCACAGACAAAACGCACCCCGAAAAGCTTAGGGGCGCTCTCTGCCAGAGACAGGTGGCTGGAGATGCAAAGAGACATTTAAAGGACCAACGCAAAAATTTGCAGAAGCAGCCGCCTTACTTGATCTCTGGGTAGAGGTGGCAGGAGAAGGGGCTGGTGCCTGCGGAAAGACTGCCGAAGAATACTTTGTGAAGAGAACAGAGACGGTGGTCACTGGAGCCCCAGTCATAACTCACCTTCTACTCTGCAACTACCACCTCACCCAGGCATAAGAGAATCAATTAACCTGTCTTTTGCACACTCTGCACACAGCTTGTGTGTGTGTGTGTGTGGGCTAGGGGCTGTGTGCAGACTGGCTGAAGAAATAGAGGATCCCTGGCCAAAGGAGACTCACCACTGCATAGAGACCCTTGAGGAGAGACTAGAGATGGAGGGGTTGGGGAGAGAACTGGAGGATTATCTGAGATCCCCGGAGTAGAGTCGCTCCCCATTACCTAGTCCCCATTTGCGCAGGCAGGCCATGCCCCCAAAGAGGCAGAAGCGGACTTGGAAGCCAGAAGGTGCACAATAACGGTCTACAGAATTAGTGGATCCCTAGCCGAAGGGGTCTCAGAGCTGCCCAGAGACTTGGGGAGAGACAGGAGACAGGATTAACTATAGAGTCCTGGAACTGACTTCTTCCCATTTCCATAGTCTCCATTTTGTGCGGGCAGGCCATGCCTCCAAAGAGCCAAAAGCAGGGAAAGCACACAATAGAAGACCCTAAACTGAACAGTGCTGGGGCACATGCCAGGAGGCAGGTGAGTATGTGATGCTGGGTGAGTACACTGGCGAGGGCCAGGGTGAGCACGCCCGACCTGGCCAGAGCGTGGGCATGCCTGGGATGGTGGGGGATCCTCTGCGGCTGGCGAGTGCGCTCAAGGAGCTGGAGTGATAGTGCAGAGTGATCCTCAAAAATAGTGGATCCCTGGCCAAAGGGTCACAGAGCTGCCCAATGCAGGAGACAGACACAGACAATAGATTCCAGGAAAGCTCAAACAAATGACCCAAGGTCAGATAGGGTCAACAACTGACATTGTCAGAGGCAGACCCAGAAAGAAAAGAAAAATAAATAAATAAATACAAGACCCTCTTACTACCATAGAAGTTTAATCCAGAAAGTCAGGAAATCTAGATGGATCAATTGAAGCAGAAGTGAAAATAAATAAATAAAAAATAATAGAATCTCACAAAAATGGGAAGAAAAAGAAGTTACCCCCAAATGAGGGGAAAGGAGGAATCCCCACACAGAGAGCTAAATGAAATAGAGGCAAGGGAACTATCACATATTGAATTCAAAACAATGGCTCTAAGGAGCTCAACGAGCTCAGCCAGCTCAAAGGTAACTATGAGAAACTGCAGAGAAACTATCAGGATCTTACAGCAAACTATATCAACCTGGAAAAGGACATAGGAACTATCAAGAAGACACAAGAGGATATAAAGAATACCATTTCTGAATTGAGGAACAGACTACAAGGGTTCAAAAGCAGACTGGATGAAGCCAAGGATCAAATCAGTGAGATGGAGGATAAGGTAGAAAAAAGCTCCCAGAAAGAACAAGAAATGGAAGAATCAAAAAGAATGAAGAGGCACTTAGGGAAATGCAGGACAACGTGAAATGCAATAATAACTGCATAATAGGGATACCAGAAGGAGAAGAAGAGCAAGGGATAGAGAACCTCTTTGAAAAAGTAATGATGGAAAATTTCCCCGAATTGAGGAGAGAAAAGGTCTCATAGATCCAGGAAGCACAGAAGGCCCCACGGAAGAGGAATCCATGGAGGACCACTCCAAGACATATCATCATTAAAATGGCAACTATCAAAGACAAAGACAGAGTCCTAAAGGCAGCAAGGGAGAAACAGGGAGTAACATACAAGAGAGCCCACATATGGCTAGCACCTGACTTCTCAACAGAAACATTGCAAGCCAGAAGGGAATGGCAACAAATATTCCAAGTAATGAAAAGCAAGGGCCTACAACTAAGGCTGCTCTACTCAGCAAGGCTCTCAATTAAAATGGAAGGGGAAATAAGGATTTTCCCAGACAAAAAAAGGCTAAAAGAATACATCTCCACCAAACCAGCACTACAAGATATGCTAAAGGGACTGGTTTAAGAAGATGAAGAAAAGAGTGAGAAGAAGAAAAACACAGGTACAAAGAGAAGAAATGAATAGCTTTCTATCAGTCATAACTCTCAGTGTAAATATACTAAATGCCCCCATCAAAAGACACAGGATAGCTGAATGGATAAGAAAACATGACCCACACATACGCTGCCTAAAAGAGACCCACCTCAGAGAAAAAGACCTACACAGATTGCAAGTAAAGGGATGGAAAAAAATATTCCAACCAAATAGGCAAGAAAAGAAGGCAGGGGCTGCAATACTTATCTCAGACAAAACAGATTTCAAAACAAAGGCCATAAAAAGAGACCCAGAGGGACACTTTATAATACGTAAAGGAAGAATCTATCAAGAAGACATAAACATTATGAACTTATATGCACCCAATATAGGAGCACCC